TATATATATATATATATATATATATATATGTATGTGTATGTTTAATTTGTTTTATTTAATATTTAAATTTTGTTGTTATTTTTTAACGCGTTTATTGTGTGCCCAAAGTTTGTAATACGCGCGCTCGATTTTTTTGATATAAATATATATATGTATATGTAAAATTATTTAGCAATTGTATTTTTTGTTTGGTTCATCTCATCATCTCTATTATCTGACACACGACATGGCGAATCGATGATATGTGTATTATGAAATATGTGTTTTTACAGGAATTGAAACGTGACAAATAATTTGCTTAAAAGAGAAACTATAGAAAACTCGCAACAAGCCACATCCTAGCAACGCACAGCCTTACGCCCGACGCCCATTTTTGTTTTGATTATTTTTAATAAAGAAAAAATAAATTACCATAATAATGAACTAAAAACTCGATACCAAAAAACGATATGCCAAATTGTTAAATCCTGAATTTTTAACATATCGAAATTTATAAGGCCGATTCAAACGATTTTACAATTTAGGCATAACAAGTGATGATTGAAATTTGAGGTAAAACTGAGACGAGAGGATAAAACCCAGAATACTTTCACTGAACAAAACTGCTAACAAAACATAATCCCCATTTGTTAAAAACAAATAGAAAACCTTGAAAAAGAAAAAGTATATGTATAATAAAAGATGAAGAAACGTATGTTAAATATGTGCTAGGCCGTCGTAGACCTAAGCAATGAGTTGAGTTAAGATAAGTGTGGTGGTTCATTTGAAAAGAAGAAACCTAGCCGAATTGTTTTTATTTGATTTGTGTTCAACAATTCGAGCAATTAGCCAAAAGAATCTTGAAAACTTTAGTCGCAATTTATAACACGATTTTGTTTGAAAAACATCGGAACTAGCTAAATTTCGTTAAAAGCAAATTGATTATATATTTTAAGGTTGTTAAAGCGAATTTAAGGACGCTCCTTAGTTCGGCACAATTTCGTATTTGATTTGAATTATTTTCGTTTTCGTAGCAAATATTTCGCAAATCTGTTTTTGATTGCTCCGCCCTCTTTTTTCTGATTTGTATTGCCGCGTAGTTTTCAACTCTAAATAAAAATATGCGCATGGGGCACAAGGTAGGTGCTGTTTATAAAATAACTCGAGTTCGATTTCTTTTACCCCCGTCGTCGTTCCTCACAATTAAATAACTCCCTGCTCGAAACGGTTTTACTTAGTTCTTGTAATTCTCATTCACAACACAATGACACGACAACAAATACAAAATATGGACCAGTTTATTCAGCATTGAATTGACAACCACCAAGAGCAAAACAAAAACAATGAAGCAAACAAAAAATATGAAACAAACAATTATATACATTAATTGATGAAACCGTCCAAATATGATGAAACAGCAACAACAAAAACACCCGAAACACCGAAGACACGAGTTGAAAACTGCTATCCCACTAAAAAACAAGTCTTAAGTCGACTGCGTTACCACGAAACGATTTCTTGCTATCGATAGTTTTACGCTAAGGGAAACAAAATCGATACTTATCGGAAATTGCATTTGCTAAGCAAAATGGCATGACAAAGAGGGACATTGATACGCAGTACAGGAGCGCATGTTTCTCTTTATTCGACGCTCTACCCCTTAGATTGTCTCTAAAACAGGGTTAGTAATAGGGTTCAATATATTCTTTTAGTCAATTTACATACTGTCGAGAGTTATCGATAGCAGATCTTCAGATATCTGCTTGCCTAAGAATATGCCACACGATTTATCGCCCATTCGGCGCTTGAAATCATTTTCAGTCCAACGCAGTCGATTTTTGAAATATTTCTATACCATGCTGCTTACACGAGTTAAACTACAAAGCTTAACAACGACAAAACATTTTATTTGCTAACCTCTAAAACAAAAACAAAAGCTTGCAACAAAATTTTTCTATGAATGATCTTTTTTACTTGCTAAACATTTTTCTATGATTTTGGGTTTTCCAGCAAAACGAAAGAAATTAAAAACGAACAAATGAAAACAACACTATAAACAACACCAACAACTTTGTACACCGAAACGAATTCATAATAATCGTATGATGAATATGCATATTGAGATTAATCCAAAACAAAAAAAGAAAACCAAAACAAAAATTGAAAAGCTACATATGAAAATCCATAAAAGATACAACTACAACTATATTCTTATAGGCTTATAGTTTATACCTACATACACATACACATAACATACTTATATATATATATGTATCTATATATATATATAAACAAATATTTACATATAAGCTATATATGATATAAACACGCATAGTACACACACACATTCATATATAGGCCATATATGTACATATACATATAAAGAATTCATTATATATCTATATATGCCTATACATATATATATATATAGTTTTTAACAAAAAAAAAACAGCGCGTGTCAATTTTAAATGCAAGCAAAAATATTTAAAAAAATAACAAAAATCAAAGCGAAAATTTAGCCGCTTTGGCCTGTTGAGGAGAACATAACCAAACGTTTACATAATTACACCACAAATTACACAAGCTACACACAGACAGATACAGCTACAGACATACAGACACACTGAGACACAGACATAGACAGACTTCCGACACAAAGACAAACGTTTTAAAACTAAAAAAATGAAAAAGGACAACTGCATAGTGTGGTCGTACGCGTAATTACTGGTGATAATTTTGCAAAAATCTTAAAACAAATAAAAAAAAAAAACAAAAAATTAAAAAAAAGAATAATTATTATATACTCGTGCATAATACTTACACAACGTACTGTAAATGCTACGTTTACTTAGCAGCTATCGATTCCCATTTGCCCCATAAATGTCTATACTCTAAATATACAAGCTACACAAACACACATACACAATACATACATACATATTATGTATAATATATGACCCGAAACATTCCCCATTTTGAGTGTCTCAATTAAAAATTTGCCAAATATTCGTAACTGAGGCATATTTTATTTCAGTGTATTAGCGAATTAGGCAAACAGTATTTCAGCCTTTATCGTAATTGCAATATATGGCACATAAAACAGTCCAATACACATGCACATTCATACACACACACACACACACACATGAGGGCACACATATTTTAACACATCTGGGCTCCCCGTTGGGGCATTGCTTGCGATTTAAGGCAAATACTTGAAATAATTTATTGTTTCATTTTAATCGCTGGCAATTTCTCCACATGTGCGCATATATATTTGTGTGTGTGTGTATATATATATGTGTGTATGTATTGGTAATAATTGGAAACATTTCAGACTCCTAATAACTGCTGAGCGTGAGTGTGTTTCTCTATGTTTATATGTAGAAATTTCTGTACTATCGATAGTTTATTGAAGACTATCGAAAACAATTTTAGTGCTTTGCAGTTTATTTGTCAGCATATTTAAGAGAGCGCACTCAAACGTCCAGCTGCAGACACGACTCCTAGATTTATGTGACAGGACATCGACCGGTTGTAAACTAACACACACAGACACACACACACACAGTGCATACACTTTAGATATATAGCTCGAAAGCAGAATTGAGAGCATCGAGGAGTCGCAGAGTAGAGTTGTTCAATTTGGCGTGTGCAATATCTATCATTTGACTTGTGTTTAGTTAACACAAATTCTTAAAAAATAAATGAAAAGAGAAAACTATAAATAAAATAAAATAATATAAATGTTAATATGCAATTTAGTTGAATTTGCGTTGAACGTTTTATTTTAGTTAATGCATACATTTAATTTTAGTCTCGATTGTATATGGCGGAAATAGTTTATATAATTTCGCACACACGAATACACACACACACACAAACACACACATAGCCACTTGTTAAACTAATCCACCGAATAAAAACAATCTCATTAAACTAAATTTAATTAAATTAAATTTTAAAAACAAAAACGAAACATAACAACAACAACAACACGAAACTATTTCCGCTTGCGCTTACATAATTTGTTTTGTTTATTGAGTAGGACTAATATTTACGCCGCGACTGTCGAGACACGCTGAATGAAGTGTAGCATACCTTTGCGGGCGCATTCGAATCTAATTATAAACAACAACAGCAACAGCATAGCAACAAATTTAAATTGAATTTTCTAAGTGTTTAGTCGAAAAAACGTAATTTATTTAGAGCAAAATAAAGAAGATAAAAGTTAAAAAAAAAATCGAAAAGAATAATATACATTCACACATAATACTTACACTCGTACATTAATACATACAAATATACACACATATATATATTTATGAATAACATAATATACTTATTACACACACACATAAACAAATACATATACATAAACATATACATATACACATACAGTCATACATATTAACAAAAGAGAAAGCCTACAGAAAAGCCGCTAAATCCGTACTAACCATGAATTTGTGTAACTACTTTTCAATCTTGTATGAGCCATCTTTCCGAAAAACACGTTTCTGCATCTCGTATACACACACACACATTCATATAGACACACACACATGCATAGAAATCATTCATTCAGTGTTCATCAGAGTTAAAAACTAAATCCACAAATTATATCACAGCACAGCATATTTGTTTACACACAACCACTCACACACACAAAGACATACATATATACACACACATTTACATACACTTATACAGTCACACAGTATGACAAATTATAAACAATTATTAAAAAGCAAAACAAAAAACTACTATTTATTAAATGTTGTTAGCATTTCGAGAAAAAACAAAAACAAAAAAAAAACGCTGTAGTGCAAAATACAAAAAAAAAAAATCTTAAAAAAACGAAAAAAATTGTAAGCAGAAAACATTAAAAAACTTACTTAAATTTAAGCAAAAATACAGTCAAAAATACAAAAGAGAAATTCGATGCAAACGAAATATCTCTCATAGAAATACAACCACAACAACAATACAACAAATACAAAAACAATACATAATACAATTCTTTGATCTTGAGCGAAACAAATAAATGAAATACTTAAACTTATACACAAAAAAGAAAAAAAACTCAAAAAACTTTGTTTTATTTCCCCAGAAATAAAAATCCAACAATATCTTATTTTCACAAAAGAAAACTCACATATACTTTTATCATATTTACAGTTAACAAAACGCAGTACAACAACTACAACACAACAACAACAAAGTACAGTTAGTGGCCGCATTACAACAACAACTACAACAAGCACCACAGTCACCAAAGCCTAATAAAAACAAAATCTTCAACAACAACAAAATACAACAACAGTAACAACAACATCTACAGCTACAACAAGAACCACCTCCATTACAAGAATTAGTTCCAAGTACAACCACCGAAGTATTTCTAGTCCAAAATTTGAATTTAACAAATGTAGTACCGAGAAAAACAAACAAAACATCAACATCGACAAGAACAACAACAACAACAACATCTGCATGAGTTGCACTTTGAGAGATTTAATTTTGAATGCATGTCAGAGCTTACGAAGAGATATACAAAATATATTCAAAATCCAAAATGTTTAGTAATTCGATTCATGTCACTTTCTCATAGTTTAAAGAGTTCAGCAAAAGAGACATTGGTCTATAATATTTGTAATTCGAATTCTCTCACCTAGCTTTCGTATATTCAGTTGATTATGGAAATGAAATATTAACCATCGTTTCAGAGTTCGTTTTACCACATTCCATAACTGTACCACATCTTTAAAATCAATATGTTTAAGTAAGAACAGTAACTGCTTCAGCTTGATCAATATTAATTAACAGCCATGTTTTGCATTAATTTTAAATATTTTTAGATATCATATAAACATAGCTCACAAATAGTTGTTAAACATGTTATTCTTTATGATCTCTTCGCGAAATGAAATCATATTCACTCGCTCTCACTCTGCTCAAGATCCCCAGTTCGTTTTTTTTTTTTCTGTTCAGTGACTTTAGTTGATCTTTTTATGGGACGCTCTTTTCACGAACCTCGTTTAGAAAACGATACGGCTGACGATCGCACGATGAGCCTAACTGAACAAAGACTCAACGAGCAAAGACTCAATGCATTCGGTCTCCACATTCCCATAAAGGAGGACTATCGAGCGTAGAGAACCCTCGCATACATACCAATACATGAACAAACGAATTTATGCCTTGCTTGACTCAGAGAAATTCCAGAGCGAAAAATAATTATTTCTGCTTCCTCTGACATTTTCCTCAAAGTGTCAGTCGACGGTCGACAGCCCGTAGGAAGCTATACTTATTAGCTTCCCTAACTCAAGCTGGATGTGCGTCCATCGGTAGTGGAAGTAGAAACAACAATTGAACAACTATTCTAGTACAAACTTTTTAAGAACTTTCCAATTTGTTTTAATTTTCCATTTTCTTACATTATATATTTGGGTTCCAAATAAAAAAAAAAAAAACATTTTTAATACATCCATTACTTTTTTATTCTATTTTTTCTGTAAATATATCTAAAACTAATCTAGTAATTCTTTACAAAAATTAAATATTTATGTTTAGAAAAGTCAAATACATAGAGAAGTCGCGATTATTACTTTTTATATATACAACAAAATTCTGTAAGAATGTTCCGCCTTCAGTTGAAATTTTCAAATTTTTTATCTGTCTGCTGCATGCGGTAAGTAGTAAGCTACTGTTATTTACAGAAATTCTTTAGAAAATAACAGAAAGCCCTGAAATTTAAACGGTTAATTTTAAATTGAATGCAAAATGTTTCTTTCCGCCCTTTGGTTCTTAACCCATTTTCCGTTCAACAATACAGCCATTGGGGCTTCGACAATGGCCAATGGAGCGCATTCAATTGTTAAATTAAATTGTTTTCATTTATAATCGAATTTATTATTGGGCTAAACAAACAAAAAAAAAAAAAGGAAAGAAATAAAGAAATCGGAAATAAACCCACATTAAATTAAATTCAAAAGCCCCAACAATTTAATTTAGTGCAGGCGCACACTGCTCATAGACATATAAACAATAATGAAATGCGTGTGACAAACCAAAATGCAATAATGTGGAAAATTAAGTTAAAGCGGCGCAAGGGAACGACTAAGAGATACCCAGTATGCAATATCATAAATATTTTTTATATTCCGGAAAAACAAACCTGGGATTATATGATTCAGATTACAATTTTCTAACTTGTTAAATAATAGCGTCATTTATCATTTATTCCAATTGCAATTAACTCCAACTTTTCTAGTAGCTGAATTATTTGGCTGATTATTAAACGGCTAAAAATAGCTAAATTGCTGATTGCCAGTCTTAAAATGATTCTCTTAGTCGCTCTTCTCTCTATCTCTCTCTGTTTTTTCTTAGTTCTTCACCTTGTACACCCCAACTTCAATTTGCTAACAATACAGGGTATTATAAAACGCATCAAGCGATGCGTATATTCATTTTTGGCCACATGCAGCTGAAAAATGGTTTAGGCTAACAGCAGGCCGTTGGTCATTTGGCCAAAAACAAATTAAGCGGTTCATGTGCAACATTTTGTGGCACATCTGTGTATTTGCCGGGGGCGGCTACTCGGCCTGTAAAAGCAAAGTTTATAAACACTTGGCAACGTTCCAGTGAGCATTGTTTTAGGCCAACTCTTTCGCTTTGATTTCGCCGAACTTAACAAGTTTTAACTTTTGCCCCAAAGAACTTCAGTTGAATTTCTTACGCTTGAATGATTTTTTGTGGGAAATTTCGTTGAATATTGTTTAATTAGGATGGGCCTAAGCCTAGTAGGGGCCCCTAAAGAAAACACAGCTGCTGAGCTGAGCCCTAAAGAAGGGTTCAATTTGTTCAATTTATCAACTGGCTGCGTGACATATGTCCGTCTGTGTGTCGGTCGGCCTGCCCAGCCCTTTAAAGGCAAAGGCTGAGCATCAGGCTAAGCTCCTGTCTGGCTCAATAAATAATTTACTTAAGCTTAAGTTTTATGCAAAGCAGCAGCAGCAGGAGCACCAGGAGCAGGAGCAGCACCAGGAGGAGGAGCAGATATCTCTTGCATTGCATCGGTAGCTTGTGTAATCCTTTGTCTATTATTTCATTTGTCGAAACCCGACTTACATAAATATTCCATTAAAATGCATGCCAGTGGGCAGTGAGTAGTAGGCAGTGGGCGTGGCTGGGACTGTGGCTAAAGGTTTATCCCTGGTATTTGCCTGCCATTGTCATTCCGTTTGAGTCTCTCTGGCTCTGGTATTTATCTTAGCTCGATGTATTTAGTTTCTCTTTTCATTGCGTTTCATCTGTTGCCACAACATTGGTTGCGGTTTTCTTATTTATTTTCTGGCTAGTTTTAGCCTTTTTTCTTGGCTCGCTTCGAACGGCATCACGTGTTGGCCATTGATTGATTGCAATTCAGCAAGAATATTCAATTCGCTTAAAATATATATCTTTATTGAATCAATAAAATCTTGTTGCCAGTAAAATTTTAGTTTACACATTCATCATTCATTAAACAATCTAAATTTGAGAAAGAAAAACTGAGCTTATTTACTACAAACCAAAACTAATGCACACACATATATACTATATCTTGATGCAATATTTTCCATTTCAGCTGAGTGAATTTATTTACCAATGAAATACATAAATCTGCTTAGTCTTTCCGCTAAAATTCTCAACAAATTATGATTATAAACAAGTAAAGGGACCAAATTTTCGTTGCTTTTAAATCAAGTTGAAGGAACATATTTTAAAAGCTTGAGTTATTTAATAAAGAACAAACTCCTAATTTAAGCTTTTCAGCAATTTTGTTGCATAAAAAATATAATAAAAGTATAAACATAAAAAATAAACTAAAAATTTAACATATAGCCTTGATAAAAACAAAAACTTTTGCAGAATTTACTTTAAAAATAAATGAAAAGAAAACTATATATATGTATATCAGAATATAAACTAAATACTTGATATCATAAAAAGCGTCAATTTGTAAATACTAAAAAATTTATTAAATTATTAGCAATGAAAATGAAAAACAAAAAATTCATATAATTTTCCTTAGCTTTTTTCATATTTATTTTGTATTTTTATAAATGGGTTGCTATAAGAAAATATGAAAGGAATATAGTATAAGCCAATTATTAAAAAGATAAAATTAAAAAAAAAAAAAAAAAAATGGGTACAATAATTTACATTTAAAAGAGACGAAGAAGATAAGAAGAAGCACAAGGTCCAGTTAGGAAAATGAAATCAAGTTGCTCATAGATTCTAGTTTTCTTTCGCTTGATGATAGAAAAGAAAAATTATTGAAAATGAAAATGAAAACTAACAATTAAGCATTAACAATAACAATAAACTACACCAATTAACGTAAACGCACTTCAATTAAACCTAGCCTAGTGTCAATTGTCTCTCTCAATTATTTTTGGTCGTAATTTAGATGGAAAGCAACTGCACAATAATCAATTAACTTAAGCCAATTACATATAGTAAATATACACCAAACACACACACTCGTATATATATATATAGATACATAGAATAAATGCACCAAAGAGATATTATTTGAAAAACTTCGGGTGTAATTAGAAAACTAATTTTGTGTATTTAAGCAAGATGGAGTTCGATTGAATGCATTTCCCGATGCGTGCGAACCAAACGATCCTAATGTCAATTTCAAGTTAAACTTAACTGTAGTCGTGTAATTATATATGCCATATATATATTTACACCACATATATATATATATATATGTATACAGTTAAATAATTAAGCCAAGAAAACAAAAGTAAGAATAAAAAAAAACAAATACAATTTAATTCGATGTGCAAAACGAGTTACTTTAGCCACAAAGCAAACGTATTTTATGTAGTAGTTACAAAAAAAAAAAAAAGAAAAAACATAGAAACAAACTACTTTGTCGTGACACACACTCACACATCTACACTTACCCACACACACACGCACAACACACTTCCGCTTCCAAACTCAATTTGTATTGTGTATAAAACGAAAAACAAAAGTTGAACAAAGCAATTCGAAAGAGCGTGATGTATTTCATTTTGTTTTTGTGTTTTTCTTTTGTTTTGGTCAACAAATCAAATGTGATTTTGCTATATATATATACATATAAAGAAAAAAAAGATTTATATATACACTACATACGCACTTAACTATGTACAATTTATGGCTCTAGTTTTTGTGTATGTGTGAAAGAAATTATTGTAGCATACTTTTAGGCAAAGGCCAAGGCTTAGCAAATTTTCACACAAATTATATATATGTATACTCGTTATATAGTATAGAGTGAAATTGTGACTTGATTTTTTTCGTTCAGTTCCTTAGCTCTATCGTTTCGGTTCACTGAAGTTTTTTTCACTGACTAAATGTATAAATGGAGTCCAAATAAAAGCCACCGCCTCTTTATCTAACAAAAAACATAAATTTAGAAAAAATTGTGAACAAATTGTGTCTATGCTATATAACTGTAACTATAATAACAAAAACAAGAAGGAGAATAAGTGAATGAAATAGTTCTACTCTAACGTAATGTCAGTTCTATAAACGTCTACGTCTATGTAGAGCTATAGTGCTACATACTACAGCTCGAGTAGTCGTGCTCGCTCTTGTAACTAAAAGATACTTATATACAGCATATATACAGCATATATATATATACATAACTATTAAATACTATAGAGATAAACATATATATACATATATATATATATGTACTTATACAGGATAATCTTATATATATACACATATGCAAAACTCCTTTTTGGACAAATTTTTCGATGTTGCTAACTACAGTGAACACACACAACAACAGACGACAACTAAAAGATTAAATAAATTATTAAAAAGAGAAAGAAGCAGAAAAAAGACAAAAATTTGTAAGTAGGCGATTTGTAAGTGTTTGTGCTGCAACCTGGTCGAGTATAAAAGAAAAGTGAACAAATGAATCTCATCTTTAAGAGAGAACTATAAGAAGCCCCTCACGTAAAACTGTATAAAGCAATTGGCTAACAGCTGCTTCAATTCTTATCAATAATTCAATAACTCAACTCGAACCCTGTTCTCTGAATGGGATTGACTCTGTGTACATTTCTGAATAAGTGTCGCATCTGATGCCGGCGAATCCACTTCGAGCACATTCAAGCATTATCTATATAAATGTATCTATAACTTTGTATCTATCATGTTTTAGAACTACCCACCAGCTGCTCTTCCAAACAAGACGCATAACAAAATGATAACCTTTACCAAATCGATATACATATATATATACTATATGCTGGGTGTGTATCCAGATCTTAAGACATGTTTGCCATCACCTACAAGAGATGCTCTTCTCAACGCTGACTGCAGAAATACCACCATGTTTAACTAAATATTAAAACTCAAACTAAAAGACATAAAGTAAAATCTTGAATATATATATACATATATATATTTTAAAGCGTAACAACTGTCTCTGTAGGACTCCAAGGCGAGGCTCATGTATACAAGAATTAAAATAAAACGAGAACATCAAGTAAATACAATTTAATAGTATTAATTAAAATAAAACTAATAATAATAATAATTATAATAATTAAAATATACATACATCAAATATATTTTATTAGTAGCAAAATTTAACAGAACCGACTACAATACAATACAAAAAGCTAAAATGAGAAATAATAACAAGTTAAAGTAACAAATTAAAAATAAATAAATAAATGTTATATAGCTGTTAAGTGTGTATTGAAAATCATAAAACTAAAATAAAATAAAACAAAAACAAAAAAGAAATGGCAACTCAACCAACAAAAAGTTGTTAAGTTTTTCCGCTTTAAGTGTCAAATTAGCTAAATATTGTAATTATAAAAATAAAATAATGAACACAAATACATATAATTGCTTGATAAAGACAACTCTATGACAACAAAGAAACAATTTTTAACTGTTAGCGCAAATTTTAATTGTAAAGAACATAAAAATTATAAATAAAACAAAACAAAAACTATTTAGTTAAGCGCATTGCGTCATTTGTTAACAAAATTATGAAATTTTATTTAATTTTTAACGAAAAATTAAATTTAAAAAAGATATGCCAAATATAAAGCGAACTCAAGCAAGGTAAACATTTACTTTGAGGCCCAAAACAAATGTTGTCTAATCTTAAAAAATTAATATTAAAAGAATTATAAAAAAATTTATCAGAGAACACTTAAGCAAACGCGTAGCAATAAACGTTAGAGAGGAAAAGAAAAACCTGGAAAGCCGCGGAAATTCCCCAACAAAAGTGAGGAAAACGAAAAAGATAAATATAAAATTGTTCATACATAAAACTCGTAATCGCATTCGTACTCGTAATAACACTTGTGCGATAAATAACCGTAAACCAAATAAAATACAGCAAATACAATAACAAAAACAATTACCAGAGTAATATGAACGCATTGTAAGCCGTGGCAAGGCGATAAAGAAAACTTTATGCAGACAACAACAACAACAAAACATATTGTAAAAGCAAAACCGAAATGCGAATAAATAACAATTAAAATTAAATATTAAATTAAAAACTCGCAAGCTTTTTATTCACTCTGGTTGGCGGTGGGGCCTCAACTTGTGTTTGATATACCCTGTACACGAGATGTTGATAGGAGGCTGGATTAGTTAAAGACTGAAGAGGAGAATACTTGATTTTTATATGCCTTGCATTATATTTGTAACTGAGGATGGCATGAATTTATAAGCATATGCATGCATCAAATGGAGGCGCTATCTTGACATTTCTTTTTCTTTATTTTGATGTAATGCAGGCTTATTTTTACAGACAGAGTAAGTGTCTCAGTATCCATGTATAGCTAGTTCTATTCTTTTCTAGTAATATACTATACTAATATGACAATTTGGTGGATGCTCTATCGTCTTTTTAGCTCAAATTTAGTAATTTTAAACTATGATTAGAAGCAGACAGATTAGCTCGAATTCGCAGTGAATGCATATACAAGTTTCATTTATGTTAATGTATATTTAACTTAAGACTCAAGCAAATCTTCTCAAATCCAAGATCTCTTAAAGTTAAACCTAAAATTATAAAAATATATAAATAGGCTGCTTCAGTTTTACAGGGCATCCTTTCGTTCAGATTCCTCTCTTTTCCACTGTGCTAAGCCCCCAACAACAAATCATCCCCACTCCCGTCCAGCAAATCGCGAATGTTTCAGGTTCAAGTTGTTTTTTCGTGTGGCGCGGTGCGTGCTAGTGACAGCTACGCGCTGTGGCATGAATGGGGTTTGCTCTGTTCCATTTCGTGTGGCATTGTCATGAAGGCTTTCAGCAGCGGGAGTGTGGAACCACGAATTTGTCAAAAACACTTTTGGTTAACAACTCGCCTAAAGCACGAAAGCCATAAACTTTATTCAACTTTGAATGACCAAAACTCGCGTATTTTCAGTCCAACTTCAAATTAGATAAAATATAGGAGCTCTAACTTGAATCTAATAAAACTCTTTCTGAAACTTTTACGAGAAGCTTGAATTTGAAAATATAATTTATTTGTGACTATTGACGCGCTCGGAATCGATTCCGAATTCGCTTCTCAATGAAAGACATTTAGAATTCAGGAGTTTGCATTTCTTTGGATTCAATTTGGAATTTCAACCCTCCATAACTTGCAATATTATCAAGGATTTCTAAGAATTCGGCATTTTAAATGCAAAATAGAAATCCTATTCAGAAACATAATAGCTCTGTCTGCACATAACCCCCATGGCCTCTTCAATGCGCTCAATCACAATCATATTTTCTAATTATACTTTAAGATGCTTCCACGCTGCCAGCTGATTGTAAAGTTGTCTTGTTACGTTCAATTTCATTTGATAGCAGAATAACCAAGCCAATTAATAAAAGTCAATGTCAAAATGTGACACTTAACAAAAAATGAAAGTCGCAATAAATGAAAATGGGAAATGGAAATGCTCAAAAGAAAATATCAAAAGACGCAATTGCGGCCAAAGTTGAGACAAGTTTATTAAATGACGATGTCCCTGTTGCCGGCATCGAAATGGAGTAGCCAGACAATTCTGCACAGAACTTCTAGTTGAAATCTTGAGTGCCAGAAGGACGTATAATGTGGGTGGGGTGGGGTGGTGCTAAGGTCAGCAGCAAATGACTTCATTAGTTTAATTGCAAACATTATTATAGAACGCCGCGAAAAAGTTGCACACAAACGAGCGTGAGTTGCGAAAAAAAGAATGCAAAATGGGGAAAAGTAAAGAAAATGCCCGAAAAAGAGTTGAGTTGCAGTCATTTAGCGAGCGCGGCTAGCGCTGCCTGCAAACAACAATTGTTGCTTGCCAAAAGAGATAATGAGCCCAAAAGGCACTGAAGCTACCGAAAATGGCGAGAAAACACAGACTCCCACACTCCGTCTCTCCCTTTCTCTCTCTGTCTCTTTTGGCTGCATAAAATGACTAAATTGTGCAGCAAGCAGAAGGCAGCACAAATCTCTGCCAGCTGCCAAAAAAAACAAAAGAGAAGAAGAAGATGTAGAAATGGCAAACGGTTAAAAGAGCAGCTGCCAAAGCTTCAGCTTTTCCAACTTTTCCAACTGCTTAAAATAATAAAGTTAATCAGTTTTCCCACTTGACTTTCAGGCTACATAATTAAGTGTTGGAGTAGATAAGGAATTTTTAAATTTAATCTACATCCATACAGCCTAGCATATGCGAGGGTACTTCGATATACATATCTTGTTTATATGTATATGAGATTTTTAAGATATATATAAGCAACAATTTCACATTTATCTGTTCATTGTTTAGTGATGTTGCAAAATTCTAATTTTTGTGAAGCTACTTTAGTTAACTACTTAAATGAGTTAAGACACAAACACTTGCCCATGACTCGATTATAGATGAGACTCACACTTAATATCTTAACGAATATTCGATAAATTGCTTAATAATAACTGACGATTTGAGCTTCCGAACTAAGCTAATTATACTGAATGAAATTACGGTGGGGAGTGTGGAGAATTCGGCTTGCAAATACCCTGAAGACCTTGGCCGTATCATATATATCTGTACCTTTTACGATAATATTAGGAGAGTACTTTGTATATTTGTATATTCTGCAAGGTAATAGAATGTCATGCATTTTTCTGTCTGATAAATACTAATTAAAAATACAGATTTCTTCGTCTAATCATAGATAATCATGGAAATAGAATCATATTGAGCTCACAAATCAATTTACTAAGTAATTTTAATGTGTTTCATTAAACAATTACATCTCCATTTTAGCAGTAAGTCGGCTTGTTTTCATTTAAATTTTCCGTCAAAGCAATTCACTTGACCTCAGTCTTTATATAGAAGCCAAATTCCATCACTCTATTCAAAATTAACCAAATTTGCTGCTCCTCCTGCCCACAGTGCAGCCCTTTTAGGCAGAGCCTCGCACTTCCGATTACCTATCAGCCTCATTGAAACTTAAGAGCTCCCGCTGTGCCCACACATAGTGT